AAAAAAAAAAAAAAAAAAAAAGAGTTAGAAGCCAGCCTGGACTACATACAGACCCTATTTCAAAACAAAATAAATGAAACTGATGAGCCAGGTGTGGTGGCGAATACCTGTAAACTTGGCCTGAAGCAGGAGGATTGCCACAAGTTTAAGGCCAGCCTAGGCTATATAGTGAGTTCAAGGTCAACCTCAACTACATAAGGTGACCCTGTCTCAAAAAAACAAAAACAAAAAATGGAAATAAATGGTCCCTCCCTCCTTGATTTTCTGTCTTGATAGGGTGAACAGGAACTCCCAGAGGTCAGCCGACGAGACTTGGAACTGCTGATCGCAGAGGAAGATGAAGCTATCTTGGTAGAGGAATATCGGAAAGTCAGGCCTCCCCGGAAGCCTACACTGGATGGTCAGACCGCTGGCACGGGCAGTCTGGGACTTAGCAGTGCCCTTATCTCTTCTGTCCTCTCAGTTCTGATCCTGTCTCTGCAGAGTACAAGGAAGAACTCCGGGCCCTGGAGGGTGACATTGTAGTCCCCTCAATATCACCTCCAGCTCCTGCACAGTAAGAGTAGGAGTTCCTGGACCAGGTAGGAGGGTCAGTGCTGGGAAAGGCATCTCTAATTTCTATTTCCCTACAGGATAGAGCCACTTCCTGGTCTGGTCCTGGCCCCTGAAGAGCTGAAACTGGAAGGCTGGGAGCCTAGTGCCCTAATCACTGGTGAGTGTCCACCATGCCTGGGTGCTGAGGTGTAGATACCTGCATAGCTGCTGCAGATAAAAGCCATCTGCCAGCCTGCCGAAGGGAGGGAAACCTCCCTGCTGGGTGTGGGAAAGCTGTAGCTTCTCATCCTGGTGGTCACCAGAGTGAAGGGGCTTATGGGAAAGCCAGAACCTCTGGTGTCATTGTAGAGGTGACTCCCCCGCCAGAGCTGCGTCTGCCAGCCCCGCCGAGTCCAGAGGTGAGTGGATCCGTTAGGAGCCTCCTTCTCCTCTTGCGCCCCAACCCAGTGCTGCTTCCCCAAATTCAGGGTCACTGGTTGCTTACATGGAGTGCTTCTATATCAATAAAAGTTGTCCTTTTCTATACCTCATCATTGTGGCCTCACTTTCCAAATAGGTAGGTATGTTGTTATGCAAGCCTGTGGAGGCCTTGCCCAAACCCTTTCCCCAGGGCAGTGTGCAGCCATTAGCAGGCCTCCAAGATGCCAGGGAAGGGAATGATGGGTAGCCTTGCCTCTACCTCCCCTTTCACTTGGCAGAGGCCGCCCCCAACTCCTGGGCGCCCACCACCTCCACGCCGCCGCCGCCGCCGCCGCCAGCTACTGTTCTGGGACAAGGAAACACAGATCTCCCGGGAGAAATTCCAGGAACAACTGCAAACCAGAGCCCACTGCTGGGAGTGTGTAAGTGCTGGGGGAAGGGATTGACACAGGTCAGGCTGGGCCTTCTGAACTCCTGGGGGAGCACTGGGAATGTGATGAAAACTCCCTTGCAAGTGGTTTTGCATACACTCCCAACTTTCCATGCACACCAATGGGAACCAGGTTAAAAACTCCTTTTATCAATGAGGACAGGCAAGATTATGAGCCTGAAAGTGGGAGACGTTCAGACACTCTGGAAAAGTACACAGGAGGTGAAGGGCCCCTAAGGAGTGGCTCCCCAGTAACAGGGTTCCTGGCCTTTTTCTCCACACAGCCAATGGTCCAGCCTCCTTCGAAGACAATTACAAGCCCTGTGGAGCTGTTCAGAACCCCAGCTCTCTGTAAGAATGGCAGGAAATGGACACAGGGGATCTTTAGAACTTAGATTCTGCACTTTTGCTGTTTCTTACAACTCACCGTGCCCTCATCCCTAGCTGGCTGGCTACCCCCAGAACTACTGGATTTCTGGACCCATTGTGCCCAGATTCCCCGAAGAGTGCTTAGACCATCCCTAGAAGCTGAAGAGGAGGCTGCTGCAAGGGAGGCAGCAGCTGAGGAGGAAAGGAGAAAGACTGAAACTCCGAGTGAAATTGAGGTAACAGCACCTCACTGCTTCCTGCCTCGTTTGAGCTCTGGCAGGCTCTACCACAAATCAGTGGCACAAGCTTGGTGGTCTTGAGCCTTGTATCAGAACTCCAAGCCCCAGATGCTTGGTCTTAGTTCCCCTTCTCCCATCCCTAGGTCCTCAGAGAGGCCCAGGAGCCTAGTGGTCCCCTCATGCTGTCTTCAGGTAAAGCACCTGTGGAAACCACCACCTTCATCACTGTTCCAACAGAGCAAGGGTGTTTAACAAGGAAGCACACACTGGTTCTCTGCAGGCCGCCCACCTAGATATTTTCCACAAGTCAATACACAGCTCTGGTGTCTAGTCAAACTGTATGGCCACATGGTTTCGTATGTGGTACTGGGGATTGACCCTAGGGTTAGACACTACCACTGAGCTATATCCATCTAGTCACAAGGCCCTGACTGCTTAGAGCCAAGCAGAAGCCCCCTCAGCACCTTCCATCTCCCAACAGAGCTCTCTCTAGAAGCAGCTGAAGAGGAGAAGTCCCGAATCAGCCTTGCCCTACCAGAAGAAAGGTGGTAAGCAGCTTGGGTGGTGAGCTTGTGCCTGCGGCCTTGGCCAGGGTGGGGGAGATGACTAGGATGGCCGTGCCCCTCATCACTGCCATACCTGCCATCGCTCTGCTTGACTCCGTTTTCCTAGGGCCTGGCCTGAGACAGAGCAGCCAGAGCCCCCTGTATTGCCAGTGGTGCCTGAACTCCCTGAGGTGCCCATGGAGCTACCCTTGGAGCTGCCCCTCGAGCCCGAGCTCCTCTCACTGGAGGCCGTGCACAGGTGCTGGGGAGAGGGTGCCTTGATGGGGTGGACCTAGGCTGGTGCCTCAGCTAACGGTTCTTGATTCCTACAGGGCGGTGGCACTGGAGCTCCAGGCCAACAGGGAGCCCGACTTCAGCAGCCTCGTGTCTCCTCTCAGCCCTCGCAGGATGGCTGCCAGGGTCTTCTACCTGCTCTTGGGTGAGTGTGGGCATGTGTGCATGGTAGAATAAGATAGGGACACACAGAACAGAGGACACAAGAGGGAATCTGGGACCTGCCTTCTCTCTTTAAAAAAAAAAAAAAAA